GGGGTGGGGCCAGGGCTAATAAGGAGGGATTATAGGGAGACTTATTTTCCTTATGTTTTTTACCAAGTTGCCCAAAGATGGAAGGGCTCCCCCAAGAGGCACTGAGCTCTCTAGTGGTCACCTGAGGTATACAGGAAGAGACTGAAGGACCAGGTGGTGAGGGGGCAAAGGGGAAAGGAGGCAGCTTGGTCAGGATGACTTTTAAGCTCTGTAGTCGCTGTCTGCTAAGGACCATGGTCAAATGGCAGCTTGATTTAGGGTTGAGTGTTGGTCAGTTTTTCAAAGAGAAAACACAATATTTTGCTTACATGTTTAAAATATTTAAGAACCTAGATGGTTAGCCATTTCTAAGGGCACCTAGTTCAAGGTATTAAGTATATTGAATAAGTTGGAAACTAGTGATCAGGATAGGGCTTGGTGGGAAGTGGAACTGAAAATGAAGGAGTGTGCGCACAGGGAGAATGAGGGCTACTGATGGTGATTCAGTAACTTCCATGTTGCTTGTGGGAAGAAAAGCTGGTCTCACCTCTTTTGGGGCTTATACTACCCCCATACTCAATTTCAGGGTGCATTTAAAAAAAATGTTTCCCACAAAGCCCTTAAGTTTGGTTGGAGCCACCTTTGGAAGTTGACGCTGGGAGTTTGTTGTATAGCTATAACTTTGAAAATCCCACTGACATTCAGGAGGTGTATAATTGTGTTATTTTGGTTAACTGGGAGATTAGGGCTGTCTCATTCTGTGGCCCATGAGGGCAGTGTTCCCTTTTGCATGACCAAAAATACCTCTTGGCTCTGTTTGTTGCGTGGGCTCATCCAGCAGGGGTGAGGGAGGGTCGTCCTCTTGCTCTGGCTAGAGGAACTGGCTTACTCTCCCTAGCTGCCCACTGGACAGCCTCCACAGGGTTGCCTGCAGGCTGAGAAGCTTGTTTCCCACACCAAGGCACTGCTGTCCCTGTGGAGTGGAGGAGGAAGGAACAGGTGATTTAAGGCAAGTCAAAACCAGAGGCTGGCACTGGCTTTCTCCTTGTAAGGTCCTTCCTTGAGTTGCCCATTCTTCTATTCTGCTCCTTGGGATGTGTGACCCATTGTGACAGTACCCTGGTCAAAGCATCCTCTTTTCCAGACTCCTGTCTTCCTTTGGGAAGGCACTGTTGCTAGCCTCATCACTTGGAAGTTGGAGGAGGATCCGAGGCTTTCAGCCTGCTACTTCATCTGCCACTTTTCTTTGTAGGTATCAGCCTTGCTGGTTTCTTCTTTACAGGGTATTATTACCTTTAAATAATAAAAGCAGATATTTCTAAGGACAGTGTAAGGAAAAGAAGCTCCTTAAGATACCTTGTGTTCTTGCTTGCTATCTATTCTGTCATATCTAAATCATTCATAAATGTATGGTCACTCACTCTGTACCAGTCGCTGTGCTGGCTGCTGGGTATAGCCTTCACCATGAGTTTCATAATCAGCAAAGAATTCTCAAGGTAGACTTGCATGAGAGACCTAAGAGTTGATACTGGGAGTCCAGGCTCTGAATAAAAGAGAGGCTCAGAAGTCTGGGATACCTTTTTTTTTTTATTTTAAAGATGTGGGGTACAATTCAGGGTTAAGTATACAAATGTTCACTCTGCAGATACCCTTGTTGATGAGGTGTGCCTTCCCCCACCTCCCCGGCAGAATCCCACTACTATCAACCCGCCCCCCCCCACCCCGGCATTTTCCCGCTACTGACAATCCTTTTCTCATAGAATACTTTTCTTAAGGGGAATTGTGTGGGTTAGTCTGGGTTCTGGGAAGATGGCCATGGAGCACTGTTGGGGGAGGAGGGTTGGTCATGAGCAGTTAGGAAGTCCTTGATCCCTAACAGATGGAAGAGAAGTTAAGTGACTGATAGAGGAAACAGGCTTGAAAGGTATTTAGGATGGGCACACCTCATCAACAAGGGTACCGGCACAATGAATATTTGTATACCTAACCCTGAATTGTACCCCACAATTTAAATAAACAAATAAATAAATGAAATCAGCACAATTAAGATGCCCTAATTTCATTAAAAAATACTCAATAAAAAAGGTATTTAGGGAGTGGTATTGCCAGCACCCTGTAGAAAGTGAACTTAGTGTTACTGCCCCACCCTCACTCCTGCTGTGTGAATGCAGAGGGTTTTGCTATCAGAATTATAGGACTGAAAATTTTTACTGCCTTTGGTGGACATTTGTGAGGAGAGGGATCCAAAAAACAAAAAGTAGCTGAATTGAGCATGTTTTTCATCTTAGCATTTTCTTTACTCAGTTTGAAGGAGTTGTGTTGAAAAGCAAGTTTCAGTCCTTAGAAAGTCACAAACTCCTTGTCATTCACAAACATTGAAAAATGCTCTATAACTTAGAGGTTTGTAAAAATGCAGTTTAACTTAGCCCTTATAATAGTGAATTAAATAGTAGCATTTCCCCCCCCATTTTAAAGATGAAGTAACTGAGACTAAGGAGGATTGCATGAGGCAGAGAGCCAGAAAGTGGCAGCGAATCTGCATCTCTGAGTTCACGTCCTGTGCCCTTTATTCTGTACTGTGCACCTAAAAGAATTCTCGAGTGGAATGTTGAATGCACCTGCTTTTCTTTGAGCAGGGGCAAATCCTACCTGTTGGCCCATGGAGATTTCCTTCTGACACAAGGCCATGTGCAAAAGGCAGTAGATTTGGAGTCACACAGACTTAGCTGAGAACACTAGCTTTGCCCTAGAAACACGACCCATGCTGGGCAGGTTCCTGGGTGTGCTTCTGTGTTTATAGAGATGGCCATATCAGTTCCTTACTGGATCAAAAGGAATCAAATCCGGTGCTCCCCATGCTAGCATGCCCTAGGCTGTCTCTCCCTCCCCCTCCACTCTCAGTCTCTGCCCCTGAGAGGTGGAGGTGGAGGCTTCCCAGTTTCCCTGCTCACCACTGGGAGGCATCCTGTGGTTGCCTTGTTTGGGAATTGGTTTTGCTATGAGTAGCTCGTCTGTAGTATCTAAAGTGTGTTCTTCCTGTGCAAAACTGTCTGAGGTGTTGTGTTCCAGGCCACAGGTTGAACATCACAGCGGAGAATGACTGCCGGCGGTTGCACTGTTCCCTGAGAGACTTGAGCTCCCTGCTGCAGGCTGTGGGCCGCTTAGCCGAGTATTTCATCGGGGATGTGTTTGCTGCACGGTTCAATGATGCCCTCACGGTCGTGGAGAGGTAGGCCAGCGTTATATTATGAAGCCGTTCCTTTTTCAGAACTCAATTTACCTTCTTGTCTGAGGAGCAGCATGTTGCCCAATAGCTTCAGCTGTGGCGCCAGGTAAATCTAGATTGCCACATGCAGTGTGAGCAACTTACTTAACTTCTTTGAACTTCAGGTTCCTCATCTGTAAAATACAGTGGAACTTTTTTTCCTGTAGATTTATTGTGAGAATTAAATGAGATAAAGCATTAGACACAGAGTTAGTCTGGGTTCTGGGAATATAGCCATGGAGCACTGTGGGAGGAGGAGGGTACTAAAAATGCAAGCTGTTATTTCATTGAAGATCTTAGGTATAGATGGAAAGACAGTAGTAGACTCATAGGAAACCAGGGAAGGTCTGTCATCATATCTTTCCTCATAGGAGAAAGAGACATTAAGAAAGCTCTACAATAAGGGGATACCACCACTATCCAAGCAGGCAGCCAGATGCCAGAGGTGGGGCTCTTTGTGGTTTTTCCAGGCCATTAGGGTCCTGGGTAGCCTCCAAACTGTACCACCCGGCTCCTTTTATTAATAGTACATCTTCCCCTTGGGTTCCATGTAGGATTTAAAGCTGCATTTGTTGAAGAACATTTCATTCTACCCAACTGTCAGTCCTTCCTCCCCCCTCCCCCCTCAAAAAAGCTCAGATGTAAGTGATGGGAGGTTTAGGTGATTTCAAGATAATTGGTGAATTGATTAGATCAAAATGAAATAGATGTAGGTCCAGCCCAAAGCCAAGACACCTGATGCTTTCGCTGGTCCAGTAGCCATATCACTAGTAACACACAGAGGGGGAATCAAGCCCCAAGAGCCTAGTTACATGCACACCAGATTTTTCTTCAGCTGTGACATCTTAGCTTAATAGAGATAACTAAGAATTTGAAGTCAAAAGCCGGATTAATAGTAATAATAAAAGCAACATACAATAGTAGGGAGTAGTAGGGCATTTTCAGAAATGTATTTGCACATTATCTTTCATTTCATTCTATACTTTGGGAAGCAAATATTGCCATTTTATTGTTGAGTAAATTGTAGCACAGTAGTGCTAAGCGCTAAGCCTTGGTTCACACAGTTCATGAGAAGGAGTGTGTAAATTTTAACCAGTTTCCTGGGTCCAAATGTTGTGCTCGTTCCACACTGCAGCATTTCTACTGCTAGAGTCTCTTTCTGTTTCTCCTGTGCTGGGTTCATTTGCACTGATATTTTGCAGAGATAGGGCATGTCTTTCTGTCTGAAATCCATAGATTAGTCCATTATTGGAATTTGCTCTGTTAAGCAATATAAATAGGTTTGTAGTCATCTCAGCATTGTAGTGAGATGATAGATATATCAGAGATCCTGAATCATTTTATAGGTCCTTATATATACATCTTTATGCACTGCTTAGGCTTGCAAGCTCAGTAGTTAAAGATACTTGCTATTTTGTCTTCATTTAGAATATGAGTGAAGACTCTTGTTATGGCTACATGATCTTAATAGCCAGATTAATTTCAGTGTTTTCATTTATAGGTTACATAAAACAAAGCTACTGTTAAAACTGTTAAACATAGAAATATTAAAAGGCACATTTAGAAGTCTATTTTAGTGTAGAACAGGATGATAGTAATTGTTTTGATTCCTAGTTATCACCAGGGCTTGAAGTTAAGACCTTTTACCTTCATTTCCTTGACTGACTGACTAGAACTGCTCCTTTCTGACTGTTCCCCGGCCCTGAATAATGTGTAACTCAAGCCTGTGGTTTTCTTTTCTTTTTTTTTTTTTCTTCTAGTTTTTATTTTAAAGATATGGGGTACAATTTGGGGTTAGGTATTCAATTGGTCATTGTACATGTAAAATTTGAGTCTCACTTTGGTCCCCACTTCACCTGGTTTGAGATCAGCTACCCTTATTGGTTTTCTGTTTGAAACTAAGTGTCACTTTCTGTCACCTGATAGGAGTATTTTTCAGAGTGTTGTTCCTCCATGCATCAGAATCCTGGATGCTTTTCAGTGATGCTCATTTCTAGACCCCTCATCATACCAATGGAATCAGTGTATGGAGTAGGACCAGGCAGTTTGCATTTATAGCATATTCCCCAGTTGATTGTTGTATTCAGAGAAAAACACACTGTCTCCTTGGCATCCACCCCAGATTCCCTTCCAGGTTTCCATACAGAGAGAAAGCACAGAAAGAATTTAGCCAGGTCTTGAATTTTTCTCCCTTCACTCAGAAAGGAATGTCTTTCTCTCTCTAGCAAGAGACGCCTTCACCATTTCCTATTAGAACTGGCTGTTAGTTATTGTATTTAATGCTCATTTGTATATAGTGAGCCCTTGAACAACCAGTGGGCTCAACAACTTGCGTCTGAAAGAATTGTACTTGAACTTAAAAAAATCTCAGTTAATTCTAGAGACGTTGGCTTCTTCCATATCCCTCCTCCAAAATTTTATCATAAACTTTTTTAAATCTTCAGGAAAGTTGGAAGAATTGTATAGGAAATACCCATATGCCCAGCACCTGGATTCTACAGTGGACATTTTGCTGTATTTTCCTTATTACGTATCCGTCCTTCTGAAACATTTGTTTTTAAAAATGATTTTAAATAAAAGCCAAGATGATTTTATCATTTTAAATTTTATAGAAAAGTTCATGTCAACCTATTTAAATGAATAGTCAAAAAAAAAAAAAGAGCAGATCTACTTCTTAAGAAACATTTAAAAATTCTCTGTATTAGCCGGGCTTGGTGGCTCAGCCTCTAATTCTGCGCTTTGGGTGGCTGAGGTGAGTGGATTGCCTGAGCCTGCAGGTTCAAGACCCGCCTGGGCAACTTGACGAGACCTCATCTCTACAATAAATAAATAATTAGCCTGGCGTGGTAGCGTGCGCCTGTAGTTCCAGCTACTTGGAAGGCTGAGGCGGAAGGATCGCCGGAGTCTAGCAGGTCGAGGCTGTGGTGGCCGGGAGTGGCCACTGCACTCCAGTCTGGGTGAAAGAGTGAGACTCCAACTCAAAAAAAAACCAAAAACCTCTTTATTTATGAAAACATATTCATTGTAGACAATTTGGAAATATAGAAAAATAGAAGGAAAAAAAATCATCCACAAGCTACCCATTCCATCATTCTCCTGAAACAAGTGGTACCAGTAAGCATATTCTGGTGAAAATTCTTCCAGCCTTTATTTTATTAACAGATAAACATTTAAAAAACAAAATTAAGCCGGACTCCGTGGCTCAGCCTGTAATCCAGCACATTGGGAGGGTGAGGTGAGTGGATTGCCTGAGCCTTCAGGTTCGAGACCCGTCTGGGCAACTTGGCGAGACCTCATCTCTCCAATAAATCAAAAAATCAGCCAGGAATGGTAGCGTGTGCCTGTAATTCCGGCTACTCGGAAGGCTGGGATGGAAGGATCGCCGAAGCCCAGCAGGTCAAGGCTGCAGTAGCCGGGAGCAGCCACTGCACTCCAGTCTGGGTAACAGAGTGAGACTCCGACTCAAAAACAAAACAAAACAAAATTAGCATATATTCTGTATATAAACTTGTTACAACCGTTTCATGTTTCAAATATCTTGAGTATTTGTCATTAAATATTCTAAGTGTGGTTCATAGTATGTGCTCTATTACATTGTATTGCATCCTTTGTATTGGATATTTTTATTGTTTTCAAAATCTTTGATGCTAATGTTTTCGTTAATATGCTTGTATATAAATCACAAGTTATTTCCTTGACCTAACTTTTTTTTTTTTGTAAATGAGAAAGCAGGATTTATTGAGAGGACAGAAAAGCTCCTACAGTGGGAGGGGACCTGAAGGGGTTGTTGACCTAAATTTTTTTGTATGAAAAAAAGTCTATTCTTGGGATCGTTGTTGGTACCTTGTCCATTTTTTCTGTTTGGTCCATGAGTTCTTAATTGCCTGATTCTTTGCCAACAGGTTGGTCAAAGTCACTCTGTATGGATCTCAGATAAAGTTGTACAACATTGAAACTGCTGTGCCATCGGTATTGAAACCTGACCTCATTGATGTGTAAGTCTAGAGTTTGGTGCTTGTGCATTCTCAGGAAAGACCTTGTCCCCACCTTCAAATGATTTTATAATAAAGAGAAAAAGGAACAGCAATGGCAATGGGGAAAATACTGTTAAACTCCAAACATAGACAGCGTGAAAGATTGATTGTGTGTCTGGGGGCAGGGATAGTAGGAGAAAGTAGAATTAGGCAAATGAGAGCTAGGGGTGGAGGTTCTATGGAGTAGGCATTTCAGGAGGAAAGAATAGTACAAGCTGAGACTAAGCTGCACAGTTAGGGAGATGGTGAGTCCTTTGTGTGGTGTGAGATGAGACTGAATTGATATGTTGGGACTAATGTGGAAGCACCTTGACTGCCGTTAATCTTCTCCTGTAGACCATTGACTGGAACTGCAGGGCACAGAAGAATAGTTGGGGAACACTTGCATTCAGAGGTTCTGATTTGAGCAGGGTAGCGTGAGGCTCAAACATTTGTATATTAAACAAGAACCTCCAGTTACTGTGAAGCAGGACATTCACTTTGAGATACTCTACAGACAACATGGGAAGCTATTAGGAAAGTGACGTGAAAAGTGTGGAAGGCCAGGGACTGGGTAAGGCAACATATTCCAGAGATTATACCACCCAGAAAGCTTGCTCTAGGTTAGAGTAGGGGCTTGGCAAACTGGCCTGTGCCAAATCTGGCTTACTGACTGCTTTTTAAAATAAAATTTTATTGGAACACAACTACACCCATTCATTTACATAATATATGTGGCTATTTTTGCACTACAGCAGTAGAGTTGAGTAGTTGTGACAGTGTATGGCTACAAAGCATAAAGTTGGTTTTTTACTCTTGTTTTCATTTAATACTAAACTTACTCCCATGTCATACATTTTTGTTTATTCAGTTTCTTCTGGGCTACATTTTCTTCTGTATAACTTCCTCTTGTGGTTTAGAAACAATGTGTTCCTTTTCATGTGTCGGGGGAAGCTCATTCAGGGGTTAATCCAAATGAGCTCTGAAGTCTGGTGGCACAACTTGGGTGTATTGTTCACCTGGATATGTTCAATGACTAGAGAATCTCCATGTAAACTATTACGCTCAGCATTACTCTCTGCATTTGTAAGTATGTACAGCAAAAATTCAGCACTTTTTGGGTCACCAACCCTGTATCCAGCCCCAGACCTAGGCATACCTGCCAGTTCTGCCATTGTAACGGTTGGAATGGTACACATTGTGTTTAAGATATAATAACTGCCTGGTCACTATGAATTTCAAACTCCCAATAACTATATCTTACTTTAAGGTACTTAGTACCTTTTCTTACCCAACTTATTATTTAGAAAAAGTTCAGATCTATAGAAAATGAAAAATATAGTAGAATAAACACCTCTTGTCCCTTATCCTACATAATCAATTACAGATACTTTGCCACATTTGCTTTTGTTTCTTGTATTTTATCAATGTATACATGCACACAATACATAATTTTTTTTCCTGCACCATTTGAAAATTGCAGGCAACGTTCCATTTCACCCATACATCCTTCAGCATGTATATCCTAGAAATAAGGTCTTTCTCCTTTATAACCATAATACCATTGTCAACACTCAAATAATTTAATGGATATGGTAATATCACCTAATGTGTAATCCATATTCAAATTTCTTCAATTGTTCCAAGAATTTTTTTATATCATTTTTATCAAGATTACTATAGAGGCAGTGGTGTGTCTTTCCTCTTGCATCACATCAAGAGGCCCTTACTGTCAATTTTTCCTCTAATTGTTGATGCATACTTTGATTTTAAAGGAGTGTCTGCCTGTATCCTAGCTCTGTTCACTGAAAGGTCCAGCAGCAGTTCTACTCCTTATGTGCATGTCTTGGTTTCTAAAATGCATCCTCCACTAAAAGGATCCAGAGCTCATTGGTGGAAAGCTCCAAGTTTGGTGCAGGGTGCTCCTGGGGAACCTTGTTGAGGCAGCAGTAAGGAATTGTTCAGTTGGGAGCACGTGAAAAGGAAGCAGGGGCCAGTTTTCAAGGGTTTTTCCTGGTCAAACTTGGCTATTTTGTCATGAAGAAAGAATAAGAATCAGAATGGATTATACTATATTGAATAAAAAGAATCCATGCATTTGTAGTGATTAAAAGAACAAAAAGATAAGAGGGAAGGGAAAACTTTGTTTACAGAAGAATGCTAGCTAATGAAGAGAAAGAATTATAAAAATCATACTTTGCAGCCACCAGTGTGGTAGTGATTTATTCAGGGTTCAAACTGGTTGTCCAAATCACAGGAAACAGTGTTTTTGTGTCATCTCCAAAGTAACACATTATAACTTACTGATTATTACTGAAAGGTAAGAAATTACATTGAAGTGTGTTAGAAGGCCTGGTGTTTTGAAGCTCTGAGACAACTGTCTCACCTTGTTTCAGATGGATGTTTATTATCTCTGATGAATTGTGAGCTTTTTAAATGTGTATTTTGTTGCACGTATGATGCAGTATAGCCTTTGCAGAAACCAAACACAGTTCTGCCGCCTCAATTATCCTCTAGCCAGACAGAATGTTTGGTGGGATGGAAGCTTAAACTTAATAATCTTCTATCAAAACTTTGTTTACAAAACTATAATACCTGGTAGTTGTGTACACTTTGGTGTGCAGTTGTAGGTGTTAAATTTTTTCTAGTTCTAAAGTCAACATATGTCACTTAAGTTCTTTGATTCTGTTTTTATAATTTGCCATTCTCACATGG